GGAGGGAGGCGGGAGGCGGTGCGGGGAGCGCCGGAGTTGCCCATGAGGTGATGGTGGCCGGGCTGGGCCGTGGATACGATATGCTCATTCAGTATCATTAACATTAAAGGTGAATTTTTTGCGCTATGAGCTTGACCCACCTGGTAGGGAAATCTGTGGAAGGATTTCTATTGCCTTCAGTGAGATCTCTGCGCATCCCTCAGACAAGCAGCTTGGAAACACCATGTGTGCTCAAAAAAATAATTATTTCCTCTGCCTTTTCCCCAAACCTCTTTTTCTCTGGTATTTATTATACCTGCCACTGAAAAGGTGAATTTTTTGCGCTATGAGCTTGACCCACCTGGTAGGGAAATCTGTGGAAGGATTTCTATTGCCTTCAGTGAGATCTCTGCGCATCCCTCAGACAAGCAGCTTGGAAACACCATGTGTGCTCAAAAAAATAATTATTTCCTCTGCCTTTTCCCCAAACCTCTTTTTCTCTGGTATTTATTATACCTGCCACTGACTTGTGTTTTTTTTTCCTAATATTATTAGGAAAAGATTAGATATTATTAATATTGATATAATATTAGGATATTATTAGATGCTTCTGTAGTTCCCTTTCTTGCACAGAGAACCAACGTTTGCCTTGTATATATTTCAAGCTTGTTAACCTCATCTCCTGTCTCTTGCTGTTTGGCTGTGCTTCGGATCAGCTGAGCTGGATGAATTTTATCCGCGGATACGTGAAGAACCAGCTGGAGCAATCTCTGGAATGTTATTTTGGGCAAGGAGTCCAAAGATAACGACTAGTGCTGAAGAGGAGTGGGGCCCCAGCTGCAGACCTTGACAGCCCCTGGTGCGTACACCACACCGGCCACGTTTTAGTTTATGCACATTTTTATGCACATTTTAGTGCATAAAGCTGCTGCAACCTCTACAGTGTGCCGCAGATTCCTGCTTGGATCGGCGTGATCCGAGACTTTTGGAGAAGGAAGATCCTGCCGACGACAAAAAAATGTAGGGAAGACAAGGGCAGATTTCACCTTTGGCAAGAGACAACCATGCTCAGTAAACCAAGTCTTAGAGGGTCCGTGAATAACTTGCAATGCAATTTTTAAGCCAGCTGTGTATTACAGGTAAGATAATCCCAGATTTTCCAACTCTCCTGGCTACATCACATGGAACTGAGGATCTCCTTAATGGAAAAGCTCACTGGATCCCAGTGTACACCACATGCCTTGGAGGAACCCAAATAAAACGTGCTCTAAAGTGATGCTGCAAGGCCCCAGCTTCACCAAAGAATTTGTCCTGTAAACCCAGGCTGCTGATGCTGGGTATGGGGTTGCTGCTGGATTGCTCCCTGCCTGTCCCATGATGCCGGATGCAGTTGGCAGGGATAGCAGACTGGCTTTGCCATGCGCCTAAATCTCGGCTACACTCACCTCCTACCCGGATGCTCCCTGCCTTTGCAGCCAGCTTTACCCATCTTGTTTCTTGTATCACATTCAGTTCAGGCAAACACGGATTTCTGGCGCAGGGGGCTGCAATGTGGCTTCTGCCAGGGGTGCTTCAGGCCCCGTTTTTGGCACGTGGGGAGCACAAGTGGGTCCAGGAGCACTGCTGAGCTGTGCCAGGACGGCCATCCAGGCACCAGGCAAGCAGGGCCTCGGAGGGGAGGCAAACTGGAACAGCAACACGGGCTTGGGAGCATGCTGCAGTGACAACTGATGGGTTTGTGACTAATGGAGAGGCTTGTCCCTGAAAAACAGGGCATAGTTGCCTGAACCTGTTTTTTTTGGCAGTGGAGCTGTTTCTCCAGCTTGCAATGTTGCACTTCTGTGCATTGACAAGGGCAGGGGCATTGCAGGAGTAAAAAGGAAAACAAAAAACCACAAGCATACAGCTCACCCAAACCCCTAAGTGATCCCATTTACCCAAACGCACCTAAGGAGTCGCACAAGGAGCACAAGAACTTTTGCCAACTTATGAATGCAAAACTTGGAAACCTTTGCAGGTCTTTTAGCTCTTAGTGGTATCTCTGCGAGAAGCTGGAATTGCTGCCCGTCTATAAGAAATTATTTTAAAAACTCCAGCAAAAAGAAATGAAAAAAACAGACTCGTAATGAACTTATTTTCTAGCATTGGAGCCATACCAGATGGAGAGAGAGAGGTGTAACAGCAGCTCTTTCATTTACTCCCTTTTTCCTCTTTGATTCCATAATAACGTAGGAGAGAGAGGGAGGGAAAACTAATCAAAAAAGGTGATGTGCCCAGACAGATCCTGCAGTGTGTTTTTGAAGATGAAACTCCCATTGATACCGACAGGAATTTTGTCTGGGTAAGCAGTGAGGGCTTGGGATTTCACACAGCCGTGTGGTCTGTCCAAACAGTCCTTAAAAATCTGCCTGAAGACGGAATCCTGAGAGATTTCAGTCAATTCTGAACCATTTTGAATTTAATTCTCTCAGCTGAGTGTAATAGAAACAAACAGGCCCGTTGAGACCTGGCATTATTTGCCCATCAAAATCAGTAAAAACCTATTTGGCATCACATTAAAAAAAAAAAAGAAACTCCAGGTCAGTATGCTGTCTACAATCTTCAGTGGCAACAACTGGAAAAGGAATTTTCATTTGCATTCTAACTTGCTGCAAATGCCCTGTTGTCATTATTCATGCAGCGAAAAGCAGAGGCCCTATTCAGCATCTGTGATGGGAAAGACCTACTTGATTATTGATTATTTGGGCTATATTAGTGCACAGAGATGCCGTCAGGAAATGTAGCCTCCACTCTCCTGGTTATTGTAGATATATGAAATAAAATTAAGGTCTTACCAACTGACTTAACAAGAAATTTGCTTGTGTAATTGCTTTGTGATGAAATCTTTGAGTTCTTCCTTCAAGTGATTTGATCTTCACTACATACAGTCATGGAGGAGTGCAGAAATAATGCTGATCTTTATTCTCTTTGTTGCAGCCAACAAGACCTCAGGGGATCCGCCGTCTCACAAATCTATGGCATTTGCACCTCCTAAAAACATGGATGGCCCAAAGCTACAGACCAAAATGAGCATGTGGACCCCCCTCAACCATCAGCTCATGAATGACAAGGCAAGTTCCACATAACCCATTAGAGGCTGAAACCTAAATAACTTAAACAAGAGAGGACACTGCTTGAATCACCTGATGGATTTGACCTCTAAATGGAAAAGGTGCCCTTACTTTTGAGGGGAGATTTTTGGGGTCAAATTCACAGAATCCCAGAATGGTTGAGGTTGGAAGGGACCTCTAGGGACCATCCAGTCCAACCCCCTGCTCAAAGCAGCCTCAGCTAGAGCAGGCTGCTCAGGACTTTGTCTGGTCAGAATTTTGAATATTCCCAAATCCTAAGACAAATTTTCAGGCTCACTTCTCAAATTCTCAAGCCCCACATAAAAATAACTTGTGGTTTTCCCTGTGAAGGTCATGAGAAATGAAAGAAGAATTTACAGATTCTATTTACTATTAGGAGTATATATATGTATCATATAAAATGTGTCCACACAAACACATCTTTATAACATATATAAAGCAATATGTTATATAAAAATCAAATGTTGTATGTTATTAAAGCATACAGGTATTTAGTCCAAGTATTTTCTTTTTATTTTGCCAAATCAGTTGTTTTTAAATTAAAAAAGAATCTGTTCCTTTTTTTAGCAGAAGTTGCTAAATCAACCTTTTTATTATTGTTTTGCATCAGAAGACTTCAGTTCAACCTCAAAGCAAAGTGAGTGTCAGTCTAAGTTTCCAGGTGGCTGGTGTGCTCCATCCCAGCTCCCAGGAGAAGGCTGAGCTCCCAGATCCTGGCTTCTGTGCTAGACCTGGCAGCATTGAGGCTGCCTCGATATTTTGGAAACTGAAGTGATGCACTTAATTTATAAATAACAGGATGCGTTTCCTAACCTCCCACTCTGCAAACTATATCTGGGATCTGCTAACACAGCTGAGGCTTTTTGGCTCATGTACCATCACCAGGCGCATGTTCTGCGCTTGAAATTCAGTTTAGATTTCTGTTGATGATTCATAGAGTTTAGTTCAGAGGGGGCTATTACATCCTGTAGTCTGAATTTCTGGATTTCTCAGGTCCTCTGGTTTTGCACAATTTTCCATGTCTGGAGCTCAGTGACTAGAATTTGGCAAAAACATATCTTCCAGGAAAGCACCCAGCCTCCCGGGGCTATCAAAAAATGTAAATTTCATCATTTATATCTTTTTATTCTAAGGGCTAATCGCCTGTACCACTAAAGGAGGAGACCTTGTCATTTATCTGAATACCTGTAGCATTGGGGTTATCAAAAAATGTAAATTTCATCATTTGTATCTTTTTTTTTCTAAGAGCTAATCCCCTGTACCACTAAAGGAGGAGACTTTGTCATTTATCTGAATACCTGTAGCATTAGTTTCCATCACTCCTGTCTTCGGTGCTAACTTACTAAGCTCTTCTGTAACCAGTATACTTTTCTTCGTGGAAGTTCTCTTACTCTGCATCAAGCCAACACTTGATCTTTTTTGATAAACTAAACAAATGGAGCCCTTTGAAGTCTTCCCAACCTGGCATATTCTCCAACCTTTGAATCATTTTAAGGTCTCTTTCCTACATTCTCTTGGAGTGATGGAGAAAAAAGTATCACATTTTTTTTCCATTGCTTTTTGCAATAAAGTCTCATCCCACCTGGCTAGAACCACCCTTTCCTACTGACTTCTGTGCTCCTTGGGCAGCCAAAAGTGTGTTGGGCTGCAGCAAAACCTTTAAGATCTCCCGTTGAATCATTGTATACTCCAGCCCTTAAAGATGTTCCAGGAAGAGAAGTTCGTAGCATCATCTGCCAGACCTGTGCTCAGTGATGAAAGTCATGATAAAAAGTGTTTATTTGTTTCTGATCCAGGTTTTTGCAGCATGAATCCACCTGAAACTCTGTTTCGTTTATCACGGTGCCCCTGCCAGTGCTGGCTCTGCAGAATTAGTGTACAGTCTCATTTCCCTCTGTTCATTTCTGCATTCTTGAGGGAAAGAAGAAAAGACTTTGTAGTCATGAGGCTCGATGTGAAAACCAAAGAGAAGGTGAGAACATAGGGAGAAAAGAGATGCCTAGGCAAGGTAGCGTGGACTTGTTGTCTGCCCTACTTGTTGTCTATTCTAATGTTGGTAGAACAGACTATGAGAGACCAGAGCTGATCCAAGACAGAAGCATTTAACTATTTAAGCCCCATTTCAACCATTATTTGGAACCAACCCAGAGGCAGTTAGTAAATTTGCCATCTCTCCCAGCTCTGGGGGTTATTGCTGGGATGTGAGCAGCTGTTTTAGAGGGAGAGATGCCAAAGCTGGGTTCCAGCTAAGGATGCAGTGAAATCAGGGGATGCATCAACTTGTTCACTCTTAGCAGAACTGAGCAGCGTCAGTTCTGCTGCCCGTGGGGCTGTGCTGCATGGAGCAAAGGGTTGTCTGCTGAGGTGGCCTCCTGCTAGACAGCAGTTTGGTAGCGGGGTCCAAGAGTCCCCAGGGATACTTGTGCCAAGGGCTAGAGGGATTTGCCAAGCAAGCTTGGACCTTAATTAAAACCACCTGAAGAAATCGATGTGAGATGAGAGGTCTCAGGAGCATCCCAGGCCTTCAGCTGCGACCAGGAGCAGCCAACTTCGGCAGTGTGTGGATGTAATTCCAAGGGGAGGACAGTAAGCATGGGCTTGATAGAGCATCCCAGGCCTTCGGCTGCATCCAGGAGCAGCCAACTTCAGCAGAGTGTGGATGTAATTCCAAGGCTTTGGAGGGGAGGACAGTAAGCATGGGCTTGATGAAGGTGGTGGAGGTTTATATCCATTTTGGGCCATTCTGTTGCTGGTTAATGCTTCCAAGTGCCTGGAGTAAGCAGAACCTTCTGAAAGAGTTGGCTCAGATGTATCTCCAAGAATGCCATAAGCAAATACGTGTCTGTCTTTGATCAAAGACCATTAAGATTGCTTTCGGTTATATAAATAGCTCCCTGTTTCACTTGAATTATCTAGCCCAAAACTTAGATCTCTGGCTATTCATCCCTTGCTTGTGGCAAATCCTTTCCAAGTGCAGCCAATACAAAGCTCGTTAGGGGGCTTTTTTTATTTTGCCAAGTGTCCCACATGCAAATAAGGCAAATAAGAACTGTCAACATGCAAATAAAAGCAATGTCATTTTTTCCACCCCTCACGAGAGACGCTCCTGCTGAGAGAGACAGAGCTAACACCGACATCTGCTCCACCAGACCGACAGCACTGAGAAAGTCTTTCTCTGCAGGAACCTTCTTTGCAGGCTGTCAAAGCAATATCATGTTTGGAGTTCATAATGATTAACCATGTTTTCCTACTTGTAGTTAATAGCTGTTTTTATGTGCAGTTTTTTCCTCTTTGATCTATCTTCTGAAAAAACCCCACATCTACAGCGTTTTCCCACTTCCCAGGTGACAATCCTGAGTGCGGAAATCAGTTTTGGAAAGTCACATGTTGCTGGTGCCTTCAGGCCGAGCTCCATACGGATAAAGGTCCACGTCACAAATTTTGACACGGATCAGGCTTCTTGTTAGTTTTCACTGCAAAGTGGCCAGTGACAGCAGAGCCACAAAGACTAACGTTACCCTCTCGTCCCTAACAATCCTGCTCCAGCACAGCCTGAGGGCTGGCCTGCTGCAGAGCAGCTCTGGGGAGAAGGTCCTGAAGCTCTTCGTGGTCAAGAAGGTGACCAGGAGCCAGCAAGGTGACCCGGTGGCAGAGAAGGCCAAGAATCTCCTGGGCTGCAGTAGACACAGCGGTGCAGCCGCTGTCCATCCATCCATCCCTTGGGATGGATTTATGAAGGATTTGGGAGGATCATGATGCTCGATGATCCTGATGGCCTTCTGCGATGAGGTGACTGGCTTGGTGGAGGAGAGGAGAGCGGCGGCTCTTGTTCGTCTTGGCTTTAGGAAGGCTGTCGACACGGTCTCCCGTAGCATCCTCGTTGCCATTGAGCTCTCCAGTTTAAGCAAGGCGTGAAGCAGGGCAGCAAAGATGATTAAGGAATTGGGGAATCTGACACCCAGGAGAAGGACGAGAGACCAGGATTGTGAATCCTGGGGAAAAGAAAGCTCAGGGGGGATCTTATCCATGTGCATTTTATCAGGGTGCGTCAGAGTGCACCTCGTGGGAGGGAGGAAAGATGACGGAGCTGGATTTCCTGATGACATCCAGTGAAAGGACAAGAGGCAATGAACACAAACTGAAATATATGAAAATCTATTTAGGCATTAAAACAAAAGACTTTTTTTTTACAGGGCAGGTGGTCAAACCCTGGAACAGGTTGCCCAGAGAGGTTGTGGAGTCTGCATCCTTGGAAATATTCCAAATCCAGCTGGACACAGCCCTGAGCAACCTGCTTTACTTGACCTTGCTTTGAGCAGGGACTTTGAACTGGGTTCCTTTCATCCTCAACTGTTCTGTAATTCCATTTAATCTTTATAGGTTACAGAGATTGTTTTTAAAGCTGTTTTTTTTTCTCCTTTTAAATATTCAATTTTATTTGTGTGTATATGTTTTTCCAGGTATTTGAAGAAAGAAGAATCCTACTTGGAAAATGGGTAACTTTCTCTCTTTAAATATATATTTACATACCTTTAAGTGCATGGATTTCTGAGTCGTAATGGGACTGTAAAACATACCCTGTTTTGAAAGAAGGGAGCTCCTTTAACCAACGTAAGTGTGGAAGTGAATTGCTCTCCTTCTGAGGAAGGTAAAAGTTTAATTCCCTCTGTGTCCACGCTCTGTAAGTTCTGAACTTGGGAAATTCCATTCCATTTTTTCAGAATGATTTTGAAATGGGATAAGAAGCCCCGTGAAAAGTCTGTGAAGTCTTCAAAGAGGAAGTTTAGTACTGCCATCCCCTGCTAGCAACTTTTAAAAACTAGTAAGGGATATATTATCTGCCAAGTGCACACATATGGCTCCTAATTCTGTAATAACTGAACACCTCATCATCTTCTCTGTCATTATATGCACAGCTCCCACATGAGACAGGAAAGTGCTGCTACCCCTTTTGCAGGTGAAAATAAGAGACATGAGGAGACTTAAGACAGGATCTGTCTATCACAACCACCCGTGACTGCAGGTTAGGCAATCAGGACAGGCTTCTGTGGCCAGATGAGAATGTCTGGATCACAGGTACACGAGCTGGGCTAGTCTGGCCACAACAACCTCCTTGCACACAGAGAAAGCAGCATTTCCAAGGGGTAATTCATCTCACTTGCTGTGGGATGAAAGAATGGGTCTCTAGAGACACCCATTTCTTTCCATGGCTTAGGAAGGGAGTTATACTGATTTAAAGGAGTATAACCTTACATGACCTACCCTGGAAGCTGCTGACAGAGGGCACAACCACAGACCATTTCCTCTGTCCTAACCTCACAGCTTCAGTACCACCTTGTCCTTTCTCTTTTGAGGCAAAATCCATTTAAAGGTAATTGGGGGAAAGCACATCTGCTTTGTCTCCTATGCACACAAGAGGACCTGCTCAGGGAGCTTACTGCAGTAAATGCACATCTTTAAAAAATGAACCAAAGCAGCGGGTACGTGGCTGCATATAATACACAAGCTAAATAGAAATATAGAAATGATGCTCCTCATCTGCAGGCTTTGATAAAGAGTATTTGCACAGTAAGTCTGTTTGAACCGTGACACTTATTCCTTATGCTCAATAGCTCACTCGTGGAAATCTTTTGCCTGTGAGATGCACTGTAAGGATGATTATTTTGATTTTAAGCTCATAAGGATTATTCATCTTTACAGGAAATGTGCTCTCCATAGTCTGTTCATTTGTGTGCATTTGGATAATAAGGAACTTCACGGAAACCAAGAGAACAAAGTTAATTGAATGATTATTGTTCAAAACCCACTTTTTTAGCATGATAAACCCATCTTGAAAACTGCTGGTATTTTAAAATGCCATTGAGATATATGGTGGCAAAAGTGCAAATATGTGTTAAGTGGAACCCCCAGTGAAAGAACCGAAATCTGGAAATGAAGCCTCCCCTTGACATGAGTGCTGAATCATTTTCTGAAGGGTTAAATGCCTGACCCTACATATGACACTGGATTGTAGCTGTCATCATGCTCCTTTAGAGCTAATATTTCTTGTGGTTATGGCATCCATCAAACCAATGAAGAGGTCAAGGAAAGCACAAAAGCTGCTCCTTGCTGCCTTTGTGGCCTCACATACCACACACCATCGTGGCACAGGCTAGAGCAGCTTCAAATTGGGAGAAAATGTGCCAAAAAAATCACAGGGCCCTTGGCAGGACTTTTTCTGTTGATTCACACGGGCTCCTAGTGCTCTCAGGAGTAGATGAAGCTGCTGCCAAGTGGGGTTGTGGGGCCTGGATTCAACATAGACAGAAATGACTATTGGCTGGAAATCCAGAACCCATCTATACTCTAACTAATATTTGGACAATGGAACGGAAAGCACATATTTGTTTGCAGATGATACCATGCTTGGAGGGATTTCCTGAATGCCAAAAATCTGCCAAAAGAGGATGTGTTTTGATAAGGATGAGTGAAAAGTGCTACGTTTAAGAATGGTCATTGCAAAAACTGCAGAAGTGAGAAAGCCCAAGTGTGCAGCAGTTCCATGAAAAGAAACCCACTGGGAATTATGGTGGATCACAAGCTGAGAATGAGTTGACAGTGTCTTGTAGTTGTAATAGAGGCCAATATCTTCAAGGGCTGTCTGGAGGGCAGAGCTGTCCCCAGTTCTGGTCGCTATATTTCAAGTGAGGACCAGTTGAAGATGCTTCAGAGCATAAGCTGCAGGTGAGAACAGTCTCAGGAAATTGGAAAGCCAGCTGTTAACTCTAGGGAGGACAGAGAAGAGGCATAGTAACACCCTTCAAATGCCCACCCATAAAAGTTTGAAACAGGAAAGGAATAAACTTATCTGCCCCCTCACACTGCATGGAGCAAGGAATTGTGTCTCAAATTGCTGTTATGAGGATCTAACTCAGACATCAGGAAAATCTAGTGGTACAGATAGCTCGCTGCTGGAATAGCTTGCCTAGGGCTTAGGGGTGGAATCGCCATCGCTGCAGCCTTTGGAGAACAGGTTAGACAAACACTTGTCAGGAAGGTTTAGCTAGAGCAGATCCTGCCTTGCGGCGGGCCGTGAACCAGCTCAGTGTTTCTCAACCTGTTTCAACTGAAGGACCATTTAGCCTTCTGGAAAGGCAGAACAGATTGCCCTGAGCAGCATTGCCACAGTGGTTCCCTTTACAGCCAAGTAAATATTAGATTACACTTTGTATATACATATACATATATATATATTTTGAATTTTATTACCCCTGATTTTATTTGCATGCATTCAGGACTCCGTTTTCACATAGTTCTTTTGTGCCATCATTTCACAGAATGTCACTGATGTCTCTTGGGCAACTGTGGTCCCTAAAGCAGGCTGCGAAACAGCTCGCTGGCCCGAAGGGGCTGCTTTTCCTGCTCCCAGGGATGTGGGGCTGGCTGTGCTCTCACCTGCAGGGTCACCCAGACCCATGCAAAAGATCAGTTGTGCTGCTCTCTTTCAGCTGAAACCCTTTGGTGGATAAACTGGGAAAGCATGAACATTTTTCTTTCTGTTTTCCTGTTTTATCCTAGCTCTCCTATATCCCACCCTGGGCACGTGCCTTCACACACTGCCTTTCAGCTTCTCTTTCCGTTGTGCTCCCAACACTGCCCCCTAAAAACTCCTCCCATCAATATAACAAACATGAAAACATCTTGCTCTACCCCAAAACTTCCTGCTATTTTGCTGATACCCAGATGAATAAATTGACAATGAGGCTGAGGTTGAATTTGCAGATTAAGACACCAGAGCTGAAGTGTCCGCAGGTGATTTGAGCGTCTCCACTCCCGTTATAACCTAATGAGGTCCAGGCAGTTCAGGGGAGCCCGGATAGAGATTCAGGTCACCCCATGGGCTATGTTTGTGCTGGTAATTTGTATATTTGAGCTCACCCTGCGCTAGGTGCAGAAGCAGAAGCTCCTGCTCACGGATACTACTATGTGCTGCCGGGCCGGAGAGTTCTGCAAAAGCCTTCCCAAAATTTCTTCCAGAATTTCAGGTTAATTGCTGACTTTTTCTAAGTGCAGTGATGGAAACAAAAAAGAAGAGGTGCAAGGGCAAGGTGCAAGGGCCTGGCAAAGAGCTTCACATTTTGCTCGGAAGATCAGTGTGTCTTAAGGAGACCTGGTGCTTGGGGGCTTCCTCCCTTCTCCTCTCACCTGCAAGCCGGGACAAATCCCTGCATCAGGATTGAGAGAGGCTGTCTGGGGAGGGAGGCAAAGACCATTTCTGCCCACAGCCACCCTTGGAGCTCCTTGCAGGCCCCCGTGTGGCTCAGTGCCCCCGAACAGCCTCGCTGACCGCAGAATTTGGCCCTCCTTTTGCAGAGCGTGTGATTTTAACCCGGTGAACCGGTGTCACCGGACCCGCTCGGAGGGGAGGGCTACGGTGTCAGCAGCTCCTTCAAAGCCGCCAAAGCGCCCGGCCCTGCGGGGCCTCTTTGGGTTGAGCTGCCCTGCCCGGGCGCTGGGCTCTCCCCTCGTGTCAGCACCGTTTTTTGTGCCTGTGCACTCAGGGATTAATCGCAAAGCGAGCGCCGAAATCCAGGCGCAGCCGGCGCATTCCCCGGAGCCTTTTGTGTCGCGCATTCCCTGCGGAGACATTGTTCATCCCGGCTCCGGGAAACGTGGCAAAAGGGGGGGAAAAAGATCGCTGGCTGCGGATGGGGAAGGCGCAGCACGTTCCAAAGGGGAATCCGGTCCGACTGGTTGGGTTGCTGTAACGCGGGGAGGGGAGGAACTGGTGAAAAAGGCAGCCCCGTGTAGCACGGGGACATGCTGGGTAGTGCTGGAAGAGGGCCCAGCGACGGCTGCTTCGCTCCATGGCGCGGGGAGGAAGCCGCGCGCTCCATGCGGCGCCGGTTTAAGCGGAGCTTTCCCTGGAGCAGGGGCTGAGGGTGCTGCAAGGAGCTGCCGGGCTGCAGAATCCGTGGCGGGCTGGGAAGGGTTAAAAACAGGATGGAATCGACCTCTTGGAAAGGAAGCCCCCTTGGCCCCGGCACCTGCACGGGACACAAAGCATCACCACAAACGGGTGCAGGGGATGCGGCTGCGATGGCGCGTGGGGAGTTCAGGGATCAGAGCCTTCCCCACCAACCGAGGCCGAAAAGGGGGTAGCCAGGGCCTTCCTGTCCCCCCATTACATCTTTATCTCATTTTATATCTCCAAGCATGTGTCAAAGCCCTCGATCCTGCTTCAGGTTTTACCTAGTCCTCTGCAAAGCACCTTTAGAGGGGAAATTTCTGTGCAAAGCAGGGAGGGAAAGGGTGTATTCCCTGCTCCCCTGGCTGGTTGTGCTTGGAAAGGCATGGACTTTGGGGAGCTTGCTTCTCTTGGGCTGGTTTCATGGCAGGAATGATAATTCCGCCCTTCTTGTCCTCTCTGCCTTCCTGAAGGTCTTGCAGCCTTGTCTGCCGGGGTGGGAGCCTTATTTCCTTCTTAGGATTTCTTCTCATGTGCTAGAATTAGATACATCCAAAGAAAAAGAAACAAAGGGTTGTTTAAAATGACCTGGGATTAAATGACTTTCTTCTCAATTACCTTTCATGTGCACAGTATATTTTAAACCATAATTCTGCCAGTCCCGCACTTTCCCGTAGCATCTTTTGGGGAAATGGAGGAAAATAGATATAAATTTCTGTTCTGCTGTGTTGAGGGGGGAAGAGAGGGCAGTCGACTTTGAACCATTTATCCACAGTAAAAAAAAAAAAAAAAAAAACATTGGGAGAACTGTCCCTTTTTCCTCTGATTTTTCGTTTTTGTGGCAATGAGGTGAGTCCCTTCCCAGGAAAAAAAATGCTGTCAGGACCCTTCCCGTCTGCTCCTAGCAGCAGCAGCTGGATACCAGGTATTTGCCGTCAAAATGAGTTAAATACCTGTGATTGTGGCTGCCACCGAGCTGCTGGGAGCAGGGCAGGGAGATGGGGGGATATTTCTCCCCTGTGCAGTGGGACCGCGAGGATAAACTCATCGCAGCATGTGAGGCCCTCAAATACTGCTGTTTTGGGGGCTGTATAAGTGCCAGGATGGGGAGGGAATTGGCAGTGAATTCATTCTGATTTAGGACCTACTCCTACAACCGTGCGTTGGCGTCTCTTTCTGTCCGCGAGTGAAGCTAAGGCTCCAAACTAATTCTAGGAGCAGTCTTGTGAGCATGAGTGTCTCCCAGACTGGGCCATCCTGGCTCCTCGGAGGACAGTAAATCATCAATTCCATGGCTTCAGCATCCTTTTCCACGGAGCATCTCCATTTGTCCCTGTGTGCTCGCTTTGCCCTGGAATGAGTCACCAGAAGCCGCTGCTTCTGCACTTTGCCTTGCCTTAAATGTGTGCTTTACTTTAACCAGCGAAGCTGAGGTTTCTCAGAGGCTGAAACTCCTTGTTTTGTTGTTTTTTTCCCTTCAGTTTGACAAGTGGACGGACGCGCAGAGGCGCAGGGTGCTGGGGGAGCTGCTGGAGCGCTGCTCCCCGGCGCAGCAGAAGTTCTGCGCCAGGCACCTGCAGGAGCGAGTCCCCGCCGCGGCGCTGGATTTCACCACGCAGCTCCCCCGGGTGCTCTCCTTGTACATCTTGTCCTTCCTGGATCCTCGGAGCCTCTGTCGGTGTGCACAGGTGAGGAAGCAGACACGTAGCTGAGGTGCAGCAGGGCAGGTCAAACCAGGTAAGAAAAGGAACCAGAAGGAAGCAGCTGTAGTTTATGCTACGTGTCAGTGCTGTTTTTTGCAAAGCCAGAACGTGCTCAGGACTGGCAGCCCGGTGCAGGACTCCTGTATGATGCTCAATACTGCACGTGCACAGATCCATCCCGAGAGTTGAGTCAGAGCAGCCAAGATTTACAAAAGGGAAGAGTGTTTTTGGCTGCTCAGCTCTGCTCAGCTCTAAGACTTTTGACTCGTGACACTTTACAAGGTCAGTTCTGAAGGAGGCTCTTTCTGAAAACCGTGCTCTTTTAAAGTGCCTTGCACTGTGTGCAGAAGCATTTCTTGCTTTGGAAATTATTGGCCCATGTGGGTTGCAAAGAACTGGATAAGATGCTTTAAGAGAAATGACAGCAAACACCAGATGCTGTAAAATGCTCGAAGCTGAAGTGTTGGATGCAGGGAAGCAGTGACCTTACAGAGGTGGTTTTGAATACAGTGCCTAGGGATTTGGTCTGCTATTTCTCTGAAGTCTGCAAGGCATAAAATGCTATGAGGCAGTACCTGAAATGTTCTGAATAAATTCAGATCTTGGTGACATGATCACCACTCTAACATAGTCCTCCAGATAATAAAACTGGTAAATCAAAACCTCAGCTTGTTAAAGCTCACTCTAGTATCTTTCTCCATAAAACACTTCATGTTTTATGTAGATGCAACTCCCACTATTCATTCACAGGAAGGGAGAAGACAGGTTAGGAAATGTCTTACTTAGGTAAGACATTAGGTAAGTACTTTCTTTCTCACTTTATGAGGCTCTTTGTGTCATATCATTGGATAACTGTGTTTATAAGCACGGCTGTGCAAATAAAAGTGTTTGCCCTTAGGCAGGAAGAAGTATTGATGCAAGGTGGCTGCATGACGGAGTATAATGGCAAACATGAAGGTACAGAAAACACTGAGAATGGGTCTGTCAGTGTTGGGGGGGCATTATTGCTGGGTTTGCCAGTGGTAGCTCATAAAGTCTTTCTTTCAGGCCTGTGTATGTTCACTGAGTAGAAAGGAAGGAGTTACTTCAAACAGGCTGGAATGTATCCTCTGGAAGAGTGATTTGGGAGGAATTCAGCCCATGCACTGCTCACTGCTCACAAAGACCTTGAATTTGGGTTTAAATGGTGCATAAACAGAACTGTCCTAGTTTTAAGCACGAAGAGGATCTTCATCAACAGGGGATGCTCTCTAGCCCATTATTAGCATTTTGCATGCCCAAGATTTTGCTCTACTCTTACACCTACTTTACTGGGCATCTGCAGGTGAGCTGGCACTGGAAGTACCTGTCGGAGCTGGATCAGCTCTGGATGCTGAAGTGCCTACGTTTTGGCTGGTATATCAACTTCTCCCCAACCCCATTTGAGCAAGGAATCTGGAAGAAACATTACATTGAGATGGTGAAAGAGCTGCGTGTCACAAGGCCAAAGGTAGGTAGCTACCTCCAGTGGGAAAACTCGGGCCCAGCAGGGCTTATAAGTCCTTTATCTCTTTATCTTTCTATAGTCTTGCACTAATAAAATAGAAGATATATGAGGACAGCATTCAAGGCATTTGCCTTCTCTTCTTTCCCAGCTTCCAGAGCATATCCAGCTCCATTGATCAGGTGCTCTGAGAAGCAGAAATTGGGCACCCTACCTCTCCCATGCTCCATTTTCAGAGTCATTTTAGCTTGTGTGTTGAAAGAAAAGCACACAGGCAGCCCATTAAATCCCCTGGAGTTGTCTCTTTCTGTCTTCTTCACAGTTGGCAGGGCCATTTTCTGGAGGTGGAGCGTTGCTCGGAGGTCGTGGGTTTCTCCTCAGGTTCCCAGGTGCCTGGTTTGGAGGCTAGGAAGGTGGGATTCTTCTGGTCTCCATTAAACATTTTAAAAAGTCATATCTCTAATTCTAACCCATTCCCTCGGGCTCACTCTGTAGTCAATGGAGAGTTAAGCACACAGATAGCACTCTCATTAAAGCCTAAAATGTCCTTTCTTCTCTTCCTCTCTCCTATCAGACCCCTCCAAAGGATGAGTTTGTAGTTACTGATGTGCAGCCGGTAAGGAGCAACGTCCCAGAGGGGAAACTTTCCCTGTCATCAGCTTTGAGATCAGCCTCTGTGCTAGGAAAGAGGAGAGACAAGGAGAAGAAAGAGCTGCCGCCGTGGCGCTCGTCCGACAGGCATCCGACGGACACCGTCCGCTTCAACTACCTCGACAACTATGACCCCATCGAGCAGGCGAGGCAGGCGTAAGAGGATCTTCCTTGTGGCATTTGGTGTGACATGGGGCATGTCCGTGTCCCTGGGAAGCCCTGTGAGCATCTCCTGGCTGAAAAGAGCTTTAGAATAAGGGTGCATGTGTGGGGCTATATACTTGTGCGTATCTGCTACATAATATTTAAGTAATGAGGAGTATTTGTAGCTAGACTGCCAGAGAGAGACTGCCTAGCACCATCAGTCCTTCAGCTTCCAGAATTATCTGTTCAGCAACCACCATGAGAAAGCCATTTATTTTCCCTTGCATAATTTTGCATATCAAATTGTGCTAAGGCAGCCCTGTGTCTTCCTTTGACACAGCTGGCATCACATGTTTTCAGAATCTCAGATTTTCCATCAGTTTCATCTGGTGAAAAGGGAAGCTCGTCCCTGTACGAAGGACCGCAGAGATTCTCACCCCGCAGCATGTGCTGAGATGCTGCTTGTCCCTCTTGACCGTGCCAGCAAGATCCTTGGTAACCAGTTAAAACACTGAAGTATCCAGATTGCACTTTAAGAAGGTAACTGATACATGTAATAGAGCTGAGATTTGCCCTGTGCACAGGAATTCTCAACCTGTGAATTGCCCCAGACTGGAGATGTGGGCTCAGCAGTGATGTGCTCACGTGGGCTCTTTCTCAACGTGTTTAACTCTGCTGGACCCAC